TTTATAATATGCATCCAGATATCCTCCAGTCACACAGGCTGAAAATTGTTCCACTTTACTGCAGTTCTGTAATCATATGGGAACCAATTCTGTCTGTGTTCTGTGCACATCCAAAATTCCTGCTGAATGACCCGCCCTGGGAGCGAGTTACCAGTGACCCAGGGCTGGGGCCGCAGGAGGGTGCAGTTGTGGGGGGGAGGGGGAGAGCCCATGGCTGGGGTGGGGGGCAGCCAAAAATTTTTTTGCTTGGGGCAGCAAAAAACCTAGAGCCGGCCCTGGATAAGGCATGACTTGCCCTTGGTGAATCGATGTTGAATCCTCCAACCTCCTACACCAGGGCTTGCACAAAGCAGCCTGTGACTGTCCGGCACAGTGCTAGTACTGGGGGAATTTCCCCTCCACATACACATGAACACCAGCTAAGGGGCAGTTACTGCCCGGTATGCTGCTGCAGCAATGTGCAGGGGCTGTAGAAGGAGGGAGAATTCTCCCCCGTGTGTGTGATCTTCAGGGCAGGGATAGTGTCTCCCCAAGTGTTTGTACAACAGCTAGTAGAGCTGGTCTGGAAGTTCCCACAGGTATTTTTTCGACAGAAAATTTTGGTTTCTTCAGAAATGAAATTTTCCATGGGAAAATGTTGGTCTTTTTCAAGCTCTTTCAACTTATTTTCAACTTTTTTTTTTTTTTTTGGTTTAAAAAACATTTCATTTCAGGGCAGGTCGACATTAATCTTTGTGTCTATCTGAACTGCTGTAGTGCCCCATGGGAATTGTAGTTTGGGTCCCTCATCCCCCTATTTTCACTTATCAGCTGCATTTCCCTTCCAGCATATGTCCCCCATGATGGGCCTGCACTGCAGAGCTCAGTCACAGGAAGAGACTGTGGTGCATCATGGGAGACAGTCAGGCCATGGCGCCCACCCCAGCAGGGCAAAAGGAGGCAGGAGCTTTCCAAGAGACACAGCGGCTCCTGTGGGCAAGTTCCCTGCTTAACAAGTAGAAGTCAGCAGCAGAACTGGTTGAAATTAGGGCTGGTTGAAATTTTTTTGTCAAAAGTTCATTTGACAGAAAATTGAGTTTAGAACTAAATGGAAATTTTCACATATAGTATCTGCTTTCTTATCAAATTCTCAACCTTCCTTCAGGAAACAGCACACTCAAAACTCAAGAACTTTCAGCTGAAAACCAAAATATTTTTGTTTTGTTTTTTTCAGGGTTTCTTCCCCCAACTTAACAGGTGAACAT